AACTCTTTAAAAATACAAAAATTGGTAGCTGGGGGTGGTGACACATGCCTTTAATACGAGAAGTCAGGAGTCAGAGTCAGGCAGACCTCTGTGAGTATGATGACCGCCTCATCTATGTATCGAATTCTAGGTCAGCTATGGCTAAGTAGTGAGATGCTGTCTTAAAAGAAATAAAAAAAAATATAAGACACAAACAAAAATCAGAACTCCCTCGTCTGGTTTCAAAGGTCTGAATGAGTCTACACTCAGCATGTCACCTTAGCCGTCCCCCAGATTACACTGTACACACCACAGAAGACTGTGAAGCAAGCGAACAGCACAGCCTGAAACCCTGCTGTAGACTGGAACCTCCAAGGAGCAGGGGCTTGTCACCTATCTCTGTGTCTATGGTACGAGCACAGAAACGAATCCCGTAGTTTTTGTTGAAAGCCAACATCTTCCTCTAGACCAGTGGTTCTCAACCTGTGGCTTGTGTTGTGACCCCTATCATGGGGGGTCAATTAAGACCATCGGAAAACACAGATATTTACATTATGCTTCATAACAGTAACAGAATTACAGTTATGAAGTAGCAATGAAAATAATTTTATGATTGGGGGGTCACTACAATATGAAGAACTGTATTAAAGAGTCACAGCATCAGGAAAGTTGAGAACCACTGATCTAGAGCCTAGTGCATGGGGAAAAAAGGTTTTTGGAGGTGAATCAGCCATCCCATTGTATATTGCATTGACTTGGTTTGGGCACTAAGTCTTGAGTTCATGGGGACCTTCATCCCTAGGCACAGTAGGGCAGCAGGTACCTATCTGGTACTCAGGACTGGAGGAGGAACTTAGGCATGCTCTGTAGCAAAGCCAGGTTTTAGGAGAGCCACTGTAGTCCTTAAGCTGCAAGATGTTCCTTAATCGGCCATCAGAGTCAGGGGAGGGGGTCTCTGAGTTACCCAGCTATATCCCAGAAAATCATTTCAGAAATGCTGGCAACAAGCCATATTTGGTGGCATGTGACAATAATCTCAGCACCCAAGAGGTAGAGGCAAGAGTTTAATGCCAGCCTGAGCTACACAGGAAGTCTGAGGCTAACTTGAGCTACCAAAAGACACTTTACATCAGAGAAAAAGAGGCAGGGAAAAATGTGCTGGGGGCTGATACTGTTCTGGGGGAACTGGTATCTGAATTTTCTCCATCCCAGGTGACAATGAGATACCTTCCCTAAGTGGACTCCAGGAGTGGGCCTCAGATGCCTTTGGTAAGGCAGGAGTACTGGAATGGTCTGGCTGGTTATCTCTAGTTCACGGCTGACAGGGTTAGATGGTTTATAGGATGTTAAATAAGTCAGGCTTGGCTTCATGGTAAAAGAGTAACAACAATGATCTCAGTTCTCTTAACCCTTACCTATAACCACTACCTTTCAGAAGCTCTAGGGCCCAGCACAGCACCTAAACACAGAGAGGACTGGAAGCAGATTGCCTAAAGTCAACGAAGCTCCTGAGCCTTGGGAGTAATCCTCCCACATCTTGGGCTGGTGACTGTACCTCTGACCCCCAAGCAGCAGGTCCACTCTTGTACATCCTATCTATAACCGCCATGGCGAGGCATGCAGTCACTTCCCCAACAGCCAGGCATTTCTCCAGGCGTGTTGGGTAGGGTTGTACAGGCTCAGCAACTCTCCGAAGGAGAGGCAGCCGGAGAGGAGCCTGCTCCTCCACACTGTCTGTCCCCACCCTCTCCTGCACTGCACCAGGAGGAGAGTGATGGGGAGGGGTGGTAATCTGGTTCCCCTTAGTGGTAAGGCAGTCCGCACAGCAGAGGAATGTGAGAGATGGTAAGGAAGACAGGTGGTACCATCACGACTGGGAATACAACCCACCGACATAGCCCAGCCACTTGGAAGAGGCCCGCAGTTAGAGATCTGTTCCCCTGGAACCTCTAGGCTTCCTGGTGCTCCTAACACTCTGTCTCAGAAGCAAGGCGGCTCCTGTTGGGCTTTCTTTATTCCTTTCCGTACAAGTCACAGACCTCATGCTTCCTTTCACCTTAAGGTAACAGAGACCAAGACAGGTCAGATTTGTCACCAGGGATGCTCTGTGCACGTGTGGAGTGGGCTTGCAATTAACTACTTCATTTCTACCACAGGGCTTCAGGATGAGGTCAGCCAATCCGCAGCAGAGCCAGCTCGGGTGTCCGCTGCTCTTTCGGACAGAAGACTCTTGTTAGCCAGCTTTTTCTACTAGCATTGAGTCCTGTAAGACATGTTCCTGTCAGCACATTTTATCAGTGACCCTCCCTGAAGCCAACCTGGCTATTAGCAGAATTCAACATAATGTCCAGCAAGTAGGTCCCATGCTAGCTGGTTATGTTCCTAAAGCAGACAGCCTGTGTGGATTGTCCTATGGAATACAGTCCAGTGGCCAATGGGGATTCAGATTTCATCAGCATCAATAACCATGTTCCTTTCAGAAGAAACCATGATCTTCTCAACCTTAGAGGCCATGACCATGTCCTGGAGGCAGGAGAGGGTGGCATATACCTGGGACTCAGTGTGGATCCCGTTTGACAATCCTGGCCTCTCCCTTCTCCATCCTCCCCAGGGCCTAAGAACTCATCCGTCAATTAAGGTATCCTGAGTTATAGCCTGAGCAGACATGCAGGGCTGTGAGGGGGTGGGGGCAGAAAGCTCGAGTGCTGTGGGTCACTTGCTGGGGTCAAAGTAGGGCTTCTTAGTGTGAGATGTAGAGTCCAAAGTGACAAGCTGTCCTCTCCTCTCTACCCATGATGTCTGTGTTGGCACACAATTGTGTGGGGAGCAGAGATGGCTGCTACCAGTTGCTATGCCCCTCATAGAAACTTAAAAATAGCAAGCACTTATTAACATTCTGAAGAGATGATTTCATGAAGGAGTGTGGGGCCAAAGGTCTGGTCAAGTAACATCGCCTCTTTTATAGAAAACGTGCCAACAGCCCTGTGCTATTTTTGTAATCAGTTTTTTTTTTATTGTTAACCTAGAGTCACATGGGAAGAAGGATTCTCAATGGAAAGATTGCCTTGGTCAGATTGCCTGTGGCTATGTCTATAAGAGATTGTCTTACTAATGACTGACGTGGGGGCACCTAGCCCACGGTGGGCAGCACCATCCCTAGGTGGGTGGGCCTGGGCTATATAAGAAAGAGAGCTGAGCATGAACTAGGGAATGAGTTGGAGAGAGAGCCAGTGAGCAAGCCAGGAAGCAGAATCCCTCCATAGTTTCTGCTTCAGTTCCTGCTTGTGTTTCTGCCCTGATTTCTTTCCCTTTATGATGGGCTATGACCCGGAAGTGTAAGCAACAGAAACCTTTTCTTTCCCCAAGTTGCTTCTGTCCTGGTGTTTACCATGGCAACGGAAAGCAAACCAGAACAAGGCCTAAGGTTCCCTCAGCAAAATGGGTGGGGCTGAGGAGCCCCGAAGCCATGACCAACATAGTGTCTGCTGCAGACCATGGCCTCTGCCTGCAATAACACCAACATTGGTGTCTGTGCTGGTAAAAGTATAGGACACCACGTGGGGGTGTTGGTGTGTATGGGTATGGGTTACGTTTGTAAGTATGTGGTGGTGACATGTGTGCACAGGTGTACATATGTGTATAACGTGTGAGTGTTGTGCAGTTGCAGTTTTAAGCTGATGTAGCATATCTAACAAAACTGCAATTCTCCAGAAGTTCAGTGTCTTAATTTTATTTGTTAAGATCTATCTGAGGCCAACTGTGGTGGCTCATGTCTTTAACTTGGGAGGCAGAGGCAGGTGGATCTCTACGAGTTCAAAGCCAGGCTAGTCTACATAGTGAGTTCCAGGCCAGCCGGAGCTACATAGTGAAATTCTGCCTCAAAAAATAGACGTTCTTATTTCATTTTATGTGTTGTATTGTTTTGCTTGCATGTAAGCATGTGTACCGTGTGTGTATCTGGTGCCCATGGAGGTTAGATCCCCTGGAATTGGAGTTACAGATGGCTGTGAACCACCATGTGGGTGCTAGGAACTGAACCTGGGTTCTCTGCAAGAGCAGCAAGTGATCTTACTGCTGAGCCACCTCTCCAGCCTGTTTTAAAAGAGGATTCTCCATATAAATTTGGCCAAGTCAACTGGAACTTGGAAAAATAAAGCCAGTTACTTTATTTATAGACTGGTGCCATTCCTTGGAAGCATGCCCATGACAGTCAGAGGTGACCCTGGAGAGAAAGTAACGCAGGGCTGGCAGATGGACCTTGTTGTAGGAGGTGCAGAGTGGGCAAGGCCTGGCCCTCCCCCACTGTGACTGTGCACAGGTGCTTTGTCCTGGAGTGTGCCGAGCTGGGAGGACAGCGGCCTGCACCTCCAGCGGGCACAATACCTTCTCCTTGTCCTCAGTGGAAATTTGATGACACAGGAGAGACCCCCTCCTCCCTTCCTGGCACTCATGAAGGAGACACTTTCCCAGGTGGACAGGCTGCTTGGAGTTTCAGGTAATTATTACTCTGTGTTCTTTAAGCATCTTACTTTGGCTACTTCAATCTACAAATATACCAGTGGAAATGTAGTCAAGGTTACATTTAGAAACAGAAGGAGCTTTAGCAGTAACAGCAGCCAAGGACTAAGCAATGTAGCTAATTCTGGTTCTCAGCTCTCGTCCTTTCTCTGTTGAAAGGAACTTACTTCATAGTGTTGCTCAAAATGTCCCACCCAAGACTCTTCCCTGAAGAAACATGCTGAGTATCCATAAGTGAGGAATTTCCAAGATGACTGAACGTTACCCCCCTGCTGTATCCTGGAACCACTGTCAATCATCTCACAACATGGAGGCCAACATGCACACCGTTACAAGGCTCTCGATGCCAAGTGGTTGGCCATGAGGAGAGGCCCCACCCACCCACAGCAGTTCCGGTGTGGCTTCCTTTATGATCGTTTAGGAATCCAGGATGCTAGGCATGGAGGTAGACTAGGAAGGACCCTTGGGAATCACAGACACTGGGCCTGGGCTCTGGGAATTACCTGGGTGGGTACGGTGCAGGACAGATGGGCAAGCTCCCCGATCCTGGCCGCAGCACGAGGGTCACTGGAGCTGATCAGCACCGGGGCACTAATTTCCATGGAGTGCCTGTGGCTGGCAGCCTGGGAGGATTTGTGCGTCACACTGAGCGCAGTGAAGGAATGGCGCTTCTTGGCGTTCTTCTTGCTGTCCACACGTCGTTGAAAGGCACTGACTGCCCCTGAGCTACTTAGGGTGGGGCCTGAGGCCACACTGGCTACTGTGCTGGGGTCGGAGGATAAGAGGGCATCGTAGTTGCATGCGGTGGCAGCGGCAGGGCACATCTTGTCCATCTCAATGAGTTGTTTTGCAGAGTCGTTGAGCTAGGTGAAAAAAAAAATGGAGAAGGAACTTCATTACGTAAACGTCAGCTACCCTGTATTCTCCTCTTTGCCTCTCAGCCCTGGCCCGAGTTCTCACTTAGAAAACGATGTGTTTACAAGGTCAGATCTTTGATCCGTGGCTTCCACCGTGAGTTTGTATAGAAAATAGGAATGCCTGCCATGGGTTTCCTTGCAAAGCTTTCTTGGGGTCACTCAAAGGCACAGAAGGCACAGGAGGGCTTTCTAGGGCTGCTACGTTGACCATTATCTTTCTCAGTGGCATGACCTTTCTTGGCACCATGTACAGCTCTGAGGAGAAAGTAAAGTATAGGCCAAGGAAGCCAGCATCTTCAGAAAATTCTGGGCATTTTGAGGCACACCTGGTCTGGTGTCCTGGAGATGCTCATCGGTCAGTCACATGCCAAGGAGACTGAGGGATGGTATACTGACTGAGTAGGTACACTTGCCTTGTCTATCTAGGCCATATGTGCTGAGATGGTGCAGTGAACAAAAACTTACTTTAAGCCACTTCCTCTGCTGGAGTGCTTCAACATGCCCAGAATTTTCTAAAGCTGCTGGCTAGCTCTGGCTCTGCAAATTTGAGATGGTACCCAATTTCCTGCATTTCTTTTGTTTTTCTCCTTTAAAAAAGTAGATTTAAAAGGTGCGTGCGTGCGTGTGTGTGTGTGTGTGTGTGTGTGTGTGTGTGTGTGTGTTTTGTGGGGACATGCCACATATATGAAAGTGCTCTCAGAGGCCAGAAGAGGGCATCAGCTGCCCTGGAGAAGAAGTTGTATGCAGTTGTAAGCCACTTGACCTGGATGCTGAGAACTAAACTCAGGTCCTCTGCAAGAACAGCAAGCGCTCTTAACCACCAAGCCACCTCACCAACTCACTTTCTTTTTTTGTTCCTTGAGAATTTCATACAACGTATTTTGATCATATTGACCCGTCTTCTCTAACTCCTCCTAGATTCAACTCCCAGCTTTGTATCCCTCTTAAAACAAAACACCAAATACAAGTTTGCATTGCCCATACACTTTAGATGTGTGGCCTTCCATGGGATCATGGTCAGCCTACTGAGGACCATAACTTTAAGAAGACTGACTCTTCCTCTCTGGGAAGCTATTAATTGGCAGTCGCTCCATAGCTAGAGGTAAGACTTAGTGACCACCTTCCCTCTCCATGCTGGGATTTGGTCTGGCTCAACTTGTGTATTGTGCACGCTACCACAACGGCTATGCATTCAAGTGTTAAGTGCTCTGTTGTGTCTGGAGAACTGTTCTTCTAGTCATCCACCCCCCTCTGGCTTTTACAGTGTCTCCATACCATCTTTTGCAGTGATCCCCGAACTGAAGAAAGAATGGATATCATATAGATATCCCATTCAGAGACAAGAAATCTCAGCCTCTCATTCACATCTTGACCAGTGGTGGAGTTCAGTGTTAATCGTCATTTATTCCAAAAGGAAACTTTTCTGATGAGGGTTAAGAGATCCACAAATCTACAGTTTTAACAATAAGTCATTAGGAGTTGGTTTAATACTATGTCTGTTTAGAAAAGCAATATAAATAGGTTCTCCAGTTTTTAGCCCAGATAACAGTGCTGGGTGTGGCTTTGAACTAGTGGGGTGGAGTTCATATCCAATCAGAAAGTGGTTGGTCACTCCCATGACATTCATGTTACTACTGCACTAGTAAGCATGTCTTGCTAGGCCAGTTATTACTATATGTCAGTGTTTACAGCTGGGTAAGATCGATGGTTACTTTACCTATCTAGTATCAGACACAGTACCCTTCAGTAATGGGGTTTTGTTAGCTTTGAACCTGTACAGATCTTGGGTGAGCTGTCACAGTCTCTGTGAGTCCATGAGTACTAGTTCTGTTAAAATCTTATTCTTCTTTCCCATGAATCCCTGAGCCTTGTGTGGAGGGGTCTCATAAAGATATCCCATATTGGGTTGAATGTTTCAAAGTCTCTCACTCTCTTCACATTAACTACCTGTGGATCTCTTTGTTAATCTCCATCCACTGCAAGGAGGTTCTCTGATGAGGGTTGAGTGATGCTCTGCTCTATTGGTTATATCACTGTCATTAAAAGTCATTATATTGCTATGTTCATATTCATATGATCCTATGATCTAGCCAATCTCAGGTACTTGGCCACTTCAGCAGTGTCATGCATGGGTTCTACCCAATAGAGTGGGCTGTAAATCCAATCAAATAGTGGTTAGTTACTCCCATAACATTCGTGCCACTGTTGCGTGAGATTATCTTGTAGGCAGGTCACTTCTGTGGGTCACAGGGTTTGTAGATGGGTGAAATGGATTATTACATTTCTCCTCTAGTAGCATTCAAGGTACTTTCCAGAACCATGAAAACTAGCCAGGAGGGTTGAAGCTTTTAGTTGGGGTACCAGTTCAATGTCTCCATGTTCAATTACATAAGTAAGTTGTGTCTTCAGTAATAGGAGATGTGTCTGCAGGTTATGGAGAGCAACAAAGAGCCTTGGCAAGAAGAGCCTGTGATGTTTGGAGGGGTGTCTATGGGACCCTTTTGGTCAATGAAGCAACAAGATGTGGTCTATTTCTAGCACTGGATGTCCTCCTTGGTGGTATAAGATATCTAGTTTGGGCTAGACATACGATGACTTCATTTAAATTATTTTCATATAGGCATATATTTTTGGATGCTTCTACAGTACTTGTGGCTTTTCAGAAGGCCTTTAATGTTAGTTGTCCCTTCCCATATTCCTTTCTTCACCTTGACCCCCCCATCTCCCTCCCCATTTAATCCTCTTATTATAATTTCCCTTTTATTTCTTCACAAATCTCCTCTATTTTCTCTTCCTTGGAAGGTAATTTCTTCCCCTTTGGTTCCTTACTAGCTACTTAACTTCTATGGTATTTGTGTCAGAACCACACATATATCTAAAGCTTATAAGCTAATATCCACAAGAGATAACATGTAAAGTTTGTTTTCTGGGTCTAGGTTACCTTACTCAGGATGACCGTTTCTAGTTCCATCCATTTACCTGCAAATTTTATAATTGTATTTTTCTTAACAGCTGAATAAAATTCCATTGTGTGAATGTACCATATTTTCATCATTCAGTTGATGGACTGTTCCCAATTTCTGGCTATTGTGAATACAGCAACAATGAGCATGGATGAGCATGTATCTCCATAGAAAGATGTAGAGTCCTTTGGGTATATCTCCAAGAGTGGTATAGCTGGATCTTGAGATAGATCAATTCTCAACTTCCTAAGGAAGCTCCACACTGATTTCCACAGTGGATGTATGAGTTTGCAGTCACACTAACAATGGCTAAACTTTCCTCTTTCCCCTCAACCTAGCCAGCATATACTGTTATTTGTTTTACTGACCTTGGCCATTCTGACTGGGCTAAGACAAAAATCTCAAAGTACTTTTAATTTCCCTGATGGCTAAGGATGTTGGCTATTTCTTTAAGTGTTTCTCAGCCATTTGTATTTTACCTTTGGGAACTCTGTTTAATCTTTTTTAAAAAAAATTGTTTTTTTTCATATTCAACTTGTTTCTGTTCTTTATATATTTTTTACACTAATCTTCTATCAAATGTATAATTGGTACATTTTTCTTATTCTGTAGGCTGCTGCTTTGCTCAAATGATGGTGTCTTTTGCTGTACAGAAGGTTTTAGCTTCATAGGGTCCTACTTATTAACTGTTGGTCATAGTGACTATGTATACCATTAGTGTCCGTCCAGAAAGTCTTTTGCTGTCCAATGAGTTCAAACCTATTTCCCACTTTCTCTTTCATCAGGTTCAGTATATCTGGTCTTAAATTGAGGAGGTCCTTGATCCGTTTGGAGTTGATTTTTGTACAAGTGAATAAATGTGGATTTATTTACATTACTGTACATGCAGCCATCCAGTCTGACCAGCAACATCTGTGGGAGATGGTGCCTTTTCTCTACTGTGTAGCTATGGCTTCATGGACAAAATATCAGGTGTGTATAGGTGTGTAGAATTATGTCTAGGTCTTCAATTCTATTCCACTGATCAACACGTGTGATTTATGCAAATGTCATACTGTTTTTATTACTCTGAAACCTCAGACGGTCATACCTCCAGCAGTTTTGTTTTGGTTTTCTCTTCAGGGCTGATTTAGCTCTCCTGGGTTGTTTTGTATTTCCATATGGAGTTGAAGAATCTTTCTTCAATTTCTGCTAAGAATTGTGTTGGAATTTTGATGGAGATTTTGCTGAATCTGTAGATTACTTTTGGTAAGATGGCCATTTTTACAATATTAATCCTACTGAGCCACAAATATGGGAGAGCTTTCTATCTTCTGGTGTCACCTTCAGCTTTTTTCTTCAATGTCTTAGAGTTTTTATTATATGAGTTTTTCACTTGTTTGGTTAGAGTAATCCCAAAGTATCTTTTTGAGGCTATTGTGAAAGGTATGTTTTCACTGATTTCTTAGTATATTTGTCATCTGTATAGAGGAAGGCTACTGACATTTATGTGTTAATTTTGTATCCTGCTACCTTACTGAAGGTGTTTATCAGCTGTATACACACACACACACACACACACACACACACACACACACACACACACACTGACATATATATAAAATAGGTATCTTTGGTAGATAATTTACTGTATGATTGCTTAGGACTTTTTCAGACATCCTTACCCTCTTCCCTCCTCTGTATTTATCTTCCTCCCATTCACTAATTAGAGTACCCTATTTCCCCATTTCCTTCCATCAGATTACACATATGCTGTGGAATACAGATTTTTAAAGTATATGTGATTTTCTAAATTTCCCTGGTATACATTGTAATGTCTCCCTTTTCATCTCAAAGTTTATTAATTTGAATTTTCTCTCTTAGGTCTGTCAATCTGGTTGATTTTCTCAAAGAACCAACCCTTCATTTCCTTGATTCTTTGTACTTTTTGTTTGTTTGTTTGCTTCTATGTCATTGATTTCAGCCCTGAATTTAATTATAGGA